TTGAAAGATGGAAAACATCATTAAAGCACCGTAGGTGATACTTGAACAAAATGTCGCCCATCCTGTTAAGTCCAGGCTGACAGAAATGTGAACCAATGTATCTCTTGATAGCAGCATAAAGCTTGTGCAAACATTAACAACTTGAAAGTGTGCAATCTGTTCATTCTAATGGACAGAACCAAATCATTTGCCATTTAATATTTACGCAGCAATCTTTGTTGATCACCTGCAACATGCCCTCTTATTGCAAGAGCTTAAAAAAAATGCACATTCAAATTAGCTCCCCCTATTCTGAGCCTTTGAAGACCAGGCCCTTACACTTTAACACTGGCTGCTCCCTGAATCATGGATTCAGATATAAAAAATGTGACAGCATCAGCTATGTGTTCCACTTTAAACAATAATACTACAACTTAATTGGCCAACCCTTCTTGGGTCAGTCTCCAATGGTTTAATCTGGAGGGGTAAAATATGTTTGTTTTTGTGAATGCACAAATACTGTGAAAATTCAGCTTACAGGCAAGGAAAAAACTGCTTTTTACAGGAAAAATATTAGAAGAGACAACACAGTGTACTATGGAATACCCTCCCACTTAAAGTACTACCTTTATGACTTCCTCTGTCACCTCTTTATATTCCTGTATTTGTTAATTCCTATGCATGATTATACGGCATGATTCTGCCATCACCATGTTTTACTGCGGGGATAATCGTTTCACAGTCATTCATGTTGGTTTTTCTTTGCTGAGAATTTACAAAGGCCTATTAACACATAGTATTTTGCATGAGCAAAGTGTTATATTTTTGGTTCCATCTGGTCTCAACACCTAATGTCTACAGTGTCAGATACATGACCATTGGGGCAAAGGACGAACTGATTGCTTTTTTTCATCTAGCTACATTTCCATAAATGTATGAAGATGTCCTGTCATCAAATTGTCTAACCTGACAACCAGAGATCCACCAGAGCTATCGAATGTTTTTTGGCTTGATCTTTACCTAATATGAACGCTGTGTCCTGTGTGCCAATGCACCAAACTCTTTTTTTCATTTTGCGATGATGACTGAAGCAAAACACATGACGTTTGTAATGTTGTATACAAACAAACCCTGCATTAAAAATTCTTTACAACTTTCTTCCTGACCCTCATTGTGATTATGCTGCAGCAATGTATACACAGGAGGGTTCTTGGAAATAGTCAGAGGATTTGGGATGGCTTTCGATGGCACTGGGGTATCAGGGTGATATGAGGTAAGGTCTGAACACCATATAAAACCATACATCATTTCCGTCCACCTTGCTTACCCAATAACTTGTATTTGTCTTCCAAATGCAAACTCAACACTAATTGATATCATATTTCCAAAATATTTATTAGAGGCACCATTAATAAAAAGTCATAAAAATCTAGGCAATGGCGTAACGACACAATAATAGACCCGTAAGCAACATTATCAAGGTGGGCCCCATATGAAGTACAACACCCTCTGCGCCTATCATACTGGGAACTTTTTTCCATTATTCCAGCAACTCTTCTTTGCTTTTTCTTTTCAGGAATCCACTTAAGTACCTCCTTTTGGTATCCATTGTCGCAAACACATTGTACATAAAGGTTATGGCTTTAATCTACGCTCTGAATTACCCATCATTCCAAGTTGTAGTGTAAAAAATAAAATACATTGTTCATTTAAGAACTTTATTGCTGTTTGAAACATATTATATGAGTGTATTGCTTACCAACCATCTAATGAACTATACACAGTTATTAACATAGTAATTAAAGCTACAGTGTGTAATTTTCAGCGACATCTAGCGGTCAGACTGCAGACTGCAGCAACATGAACGTCTCCCCCCCACCGCTTCTCCCCCCCAACAGTACGGCGAGCGTTACGGGACAAAATGTCTTCCACGACGTCCGCATCACCTACCTTCTCAAGTGATGAGGTTTGTTTACATAGATAATTTTACAGATAGTATTTCATTAGTCTGTGTAGGGTATAGATTTCATGTAGACTTAAGATAATAAATATACCCGTTATTTTTTCTACGTCGTTGTGACGTTTTGGTGAGCTGCTTTGCATGGTGATATAAACAGACGAAGTAATTGTAGTCATTAGTTTAACAGCGAGATTGTGTTCGCTGGAAGAATATATATTCCCCGTTTACAGAGTCTAAGTCATTTTGGTGGCACGGGGGTTACAACGCGAGGAAGAGGGAGAGGACGAGGGCAAGGGCAGGGAGGCCGTGCAGCTAGGGCCAGGCGAGAGAGGGGAGCCAGCGGGGTGAGAGCAGAGGAGGAAAGGCTTGAAGATCTCCAAAGGAGCCGGAGAGAAGTAACCGAGGTATATATCCAGAAAATTATTTTACAGAAAATTACTGAATCATTACCTGTGAAACGTCAGGGACGTTGCTGAATAAGTATACTGGAGAGTAACAGCATCATCACGCAGCATGTTATTGTTTTAGACAGGTCTGAGCATCCTGTACTCCAAAAACTGCAGTGATATTAGACAATTGTGTGTATAGGATTAATTACCTGTCCAAGAGAAAACTGGCAACTTGAGCGTCACTTTGAAAACCTTTTTCCTCCATCAGTGACTTCCATCGTGTAAATGCCGTGCCAATGTTGATCCGTGTTTTTTGTCGTTTCTTGTCACTCTTGCGTTTATTCTCGTCGTGTTTCCGCTTCTTAGATGACGGGGGTTCGGTGTCCGCCGCTTTTCGTTGTGATACAGAGTAGGCATGATCCTCCATTCGTCTGATGTTTGGCCACACAGCTCCAAAAGCTGCGTGAAGCTGACACCCCACCCACGTCAAAAAACTCTGCAAATAGACTGAATGGTTAGTGCAACGTTAGTGCAGATTTGTGCAGAAAAAAATATCGTTTGTGCTACTTTTGTTTAAGAGATATTAAAGATTATTTTTTAGGTCATCCAGAGGTCACCATCCCCCCATTAAACTCCAATTTGAACCAAAGTGGTCTCGTTTTTTAGTGCTTCGTTTGTGCTGATTTGTGCAGTTAAAACGGTCATTTGTGCTATTTTACTTTTAAAGATATAATCATTTTAATTTTTGGCTGATGACGTCACCATCCCCCCATCAAGCTCCGATTTGATCCAAAGTGGTCTCATTTTTTAGTGCTTCGTTTGTGCTGATTTGTGCAGTTAAAACAAACATTTGTGCTGCTTTACTTTTTAAGATATAATCATTTTAATTTTTTGGCTGATGACGTCACCATCCCCCCATCAAGCTCCGATTTGATCCAAAGTGGTCTCATTTTTTAGTGCTTCGTTTGTGCTGATTTGTGCAGTTAAAACGGTCATTTGTGCTGCTTTACTTTTTAAGATATAATTATTTTAATTTTTTTGGCTGATGACATCACCATCCCCCCATCAAGCTCCGATTTGATCCAAAGTGGTCTCATTTTTTAGTGCTTCGTTTGTGCTGATTTGTGCAGTTAAAACGGTCATTTGTGCTGCTTTACTTTTTAAGATATAATTATTTTAATTTTTTTGGCTGATGACATCACCATCCCCCCATCAAGCTCCGATTTGATCCAAAGTGGTCTCATTTTTTAGTGCTTCGTTTGTGCTGATTTGTGCAGTTAAAACCGACATTTGTGCTGCTTTACTTTTTAAGATATAATCATTTTAATTTTTTTGGCTGACATCACCATCCCCCCATCAAGCTCCGATTTGATCCAAAGTGGTCTCATTTTTTAGTGCTTCGTTTGTGCTGATTTGTGCAGTTAAAACCGACATTTGTGCTGCTTTACTTTTTAAGATATAATCATTTTAATTTTTTTGGCTGATGACATCACCATCCCCCCATCAAGCTCCGATTTGATCCAAAGTGGTCTCATTTTTTAGTGCTTCATTTGTGCTGATTTGTGCAGTTAAAACCGACATTTGTGCTGCTTGCATGTCCGATTCAAACTATATTCTCTATACTTGCAGGTGATGATCACAACCGACTACATTTATTACACATCTACAACTGCTGTTTTTGTTTCAGGCCGCTTTTTATCCTGTAAATTCTTGTCAGTAATTTAGTCTGGGACAAAAGTAAATTATATCTCACTGCCAACACTGGAAAGAAGGGAAGTCTTTTTAAAATGTTTCTACTGATAAATCAGTGTCTTTATTATGAAGATTACCGAGCCTGTTTGTCCCCTTCTTAGTCACTCACGCCTGCCGCCTTGTTTACCTTTCTTGTTACCGAGGCGCAGTATACCTGCTTCTTCTTCTTCTTTGGTTTCAGGCAGACTAAACGCTTCTCAGGCATAATACTGCCATCTACTGTTCAGTACCGTCTCAGTTCATCTCTCTCAACTTGCCGTAGTTATTTTCGAGCGTCATGGGAGATCTCGCAATCGCTAGTTTGTTGCCTCTGCGCTGCCGTAGCGCAAAGATGTCAGCCTCCATGGCTGCGAGACCCGCTCCTATGTAATTATAAATAACGAATTCTAAGGCAACGCAAATGTTATGGTTAAAAAGCTGAGCTCATAGGTGATGATAAATAACATAGTTATGTATAATATATTAAATTTCTGAATTTATATGCCTGTAATTATTACACACTGTAGCTTTAAAAGTACCACTGTCTGCTTTGCTATTGGTGTCGTGTTTAAACGGCTCACCATCATGTTGAAATGCCATGTGTTGGGGTTTAAATAAGGTCCGGTCAGTCAATCTTATATCAGGTCGGTTCAAGAGGAATTTTTCACACCATTACATCTGCAAAGAGGCGTCCAAGTCCACAATTGCTGGGGGCCAACCAGCAGTCAGTGATGGGGCTCCTAAGCAGCAGTCATTGCTTACTGATATTTACGCCCCTGAATCTACATGTAGGCTATGAATTCTATGTAATTTAGTCAAGATTAAAGCTGTATTGTAGCAGTTGGCAAATGTCTAATATTTTGCACCTTAAAGGCTGTGTCAAAAATTTCCCCACCATGACTAGGTCCAAATCCTCCACGCTCACGCCTCTTGATCCGCCCACTGGTGGAGCATCAAAATCGTCCACAGAGCGCAGCTCTAGAGCGCGCGGCGCACCATGACAGAGACTCATTGAGCAAATCTAACAAGTCCAGCCATGGTGTTCCCGAATCATTAAGATAAAACCCGATACGGCTTTGATTATTCCTGTCAATGCATAAAGCTGTGACTTTTCCTGCGAGGACAGCATGTGGAAACCCACGGGGGGGCTCGCCTTCAGCTCAGCGGGACTTCGCGGGGCTGCCGCTGGGGTCACCTGCATGCTGACCGGGATCCTGCTGCTACTGAGCGGCACCGGACACCCGGAGGAGCCACCGGCTGCGGGGACGGGTTTCTCCGCTTATATCAGGACTCTGACCCGAGAGAGGAGAGCGGTAAGAAGCCCGCGGAGCAGCGCGCTCCACGGAGCTGTGGAGCATCTGTCCCAGGATGACCTGTTCATAGCGGTGAAAAGCACCAGAAGGTACCACCGAGACCGGCTGGAGCTGCTGCTGGACACCTGGATCTCCAGAAACCTCCCACAGGTCAGCCTCTATTAGCGCGACTGGATTTACAGGCAATAAGAATAAAAAACATATTTGGCTGAAGATTGTAGATTTTATTCATGCATACAGACTTTAAGTCATTTTATGAGGATTTTATCTAATAAAGTCCAGAATTACATAATGCTAGTTTACTTAAAGCACCCTTTCAAGTCAGGGGACTCCAAAGTGCTTTGCTCTACATTCGGTCATGAACTAATTCACACACTGATGGGGTCAGGCCACAGCAGTCCTGACTTATATAAGATTGTTGGTTTATAAAACAATGCCACCTGTTTATCATCCTACAATAGAACGACTCATCTGCAGATCTATGGAAGCACATCGTTACCATATTTCAAATGAAAAAGCATTTTCAGAAATACATTTTCATTTTAAGAATGTGGCTGCATTGTTTGACTCATAAATTAAATTAGTATTCAATAATATGGTTTGAATTTTCATTTTCTTCTTTAACACTGCTCATCCTTTATTTAATGAAAATGAAAAGACATTTGAGATTTATTTTTCAAAATGTACCCCAGCAAATACAGACCAAAATTCAGTTTGAAATGTCAAATTTGAAAATGAAAAAGCATATCCAGAAATGCTTTTTCATTTTAAGAATGTGGCTGCATTATTTTACTCATAAATTAAATTAGTAATAAATCATCCTTTTTGCATTTGCATTTTATGGGCGACAGTGGCGTTGGATGGAGGAGTTTGCCCTGTAATCGAAGGGTTGACGGTTCAAGCCCCGACTCCGACTTTCATTGTCGTTGTGTCCTTGGGCAAGACACTTCACCTGCATTGTCTACTGATAGTGGTCAGAGGGCCCGGTGGCGCCAGTGTACGGCAGCCTCGCTTCTGTCAGTGAGCCCCAGGGCAGCTGTGGCTACAATGTAGCTTGCCACCATCAGTGTGTGAGTGTGTGTGAATGGGTGAATGAATGTAGTGTAAAGCGCTTTGGTCAAGTCTCCTAACTCGAATAAAGGCGCTATATAAGTACATGCCATTTACCATTTACCATTTTCATCTTTAAGACTGCACATTTTATGCCATAATCAAAGAGAAAACACAGCTGACATTGCTTTTTTGTTTTCATGGTCTGCCAGCACAGTACCGTCCATAACTCGAAAACGGAAAAGCATTCTGAGCGGCGGGTGACGTCAGCAGATTCTCTTCCTCAGGTCCTTGCTGACCGGGCTACCCATCTTGTTCGGTAGGGGGCGCTGTTCACGTCTGCGTTGCATTACATTCATTACAGTCTTTAGCATCACAGGTCATGGCACTCCCTCAAATTGTATAAACACTTTTAGAATTAGCTGAGCAGGTAGAATCCAAAAGTATATCCGGGTCTGATGCCCGTGACCTAGTAGAACAAATCAAGCAGCAGCGGCCTTCCTTAGTAGCTCTGCCACTGTTTTGGTCATTGTGGTCATTCTTTATGTCTCGATAGTCAATTCAGGGAGTTTCCCGCCGGCACGTTTACAATGTAATGCAAGATGTGTAGCCCGGACAGCAAGGACCTGAGAAGGAGCGGCTGCCGACGTCACCCTGCTGCGCCGGCCGCTCAGAATGCTTTTTCGTTTTCGAGTTATGGACAGTACTTTGCTGGCAGACCGAAAAACGAAACGAAAAAGCAATGCCTGCTGTGTTTTCTCTTTGATTATGGCATAAAATGAGCAGTCTTAAAGAAGAAAATGCAAATGCAAGTATGATGATTGATTACTAAATTCATTTATGAGTCAAACAATGCAGCCACATTGTTAAAATGAAAAAGCATTTCTGAAAATGCTTTTTCATTTGAAATATGGTAACCATTTGCTTCCATACAGATCTACCGTCCACCTGAAGTGGTTGGTATAAAGAGCATCACTTATTGTTTGGAAACAAAGTAACTCTGGAGCAACTCCAGAGATCCATAACTCAGGTGGGAGCACTATGGAAACAACTGTGTATCTTGCATTCCAGGAATTATGGCATGTTGAATGACTCAGTGAAAAATAAAACCTGAAACTGTTTCAGGATTTGTGAAAGAAAAGTTAAAAAATAAATTTAAGGAAAATAAATTAGGTTTAAACTCATTATAGGTGTTTCTTCTACATATGGTATGAGATTCCTCTGACTGAAGACGCTGAAGATGATGCTCAGAGTTGTCCATACTTTAATTTTTGTTAAATCCTCTGATTTGATGCTAATTGCAGCTTCTTCTTTTTTTAACAAAATGGGCAAAACTTTACTCTCTAGATTTGCTTTGTCGCTCAGAAATACGTCAAACCATTAAAAAGAAAAAGTGGGTTCTATGACATTCTGACTTGGGTGGTTTAAACATAAATGCATCCCCCACTTCTCATATTTTATTTAAAACCAGATTTTGAGCTAATACATGTTTTTATCACTTTTTTTATCACATACAACTGTGTTTGTCTATAACTTAAAACTCCTCTGCTTAATGTAGGTAATTTGTGAAACAAAATACAATAATTATTTAATTTTTTTCTTATTAAACTGACACACTCAGTTGAATATTTTCTCCCAGGTGTTTTAAAACAAAGCAAATCAGAACAATTTAAATCTTTCCCAGCATCTTACCACCTCTGTTCTTAGGTAAAATGATATTCATCAGTTTAGAGACTTTGATTAAGTCTCAGAACATATCAGTGGATTAATTATAAGATTTGATCTGATTAATGCTCAGAGAAAGGCTTTTTCAGGACAAGTTAAAGTGCCTCACATATGGATATTTTAGATCAAATGCAGCCTTTTGGTCTGAACCACAAGGCTGAGTGAGTCAAAGATGCATCTGTTGCTATAAAACACATGGTACGGTGGTGAACTGCACCCAGCCACTTAAAAGCTTGTAATCAAACGCAGACGTGACTGTGGATTGCCCAGCTAGCTTTCAGATTTCTCTGTAAACCTCAGTGTCTCAGGAGGAAAAGACTGTTGACATGTAAACACGGTCTCTGTTGAGGGAGGGTAGGGAAGGATCAGCTGTATGGGAGCTCCCACGGTTCAGGTGTTTGTAACTCCACCTGTTTCCCAGACACACCGTTTCACTGTGACACTGCTGAGTAATGGAAACGCATCAACAACACACACAAAGGTATACTTAGTGTTACCTTCATGCACGCCTCCTGGAAACGTACCAGATTTCTCATGGGAAGTTAAACAAGTGTCTGATCACAAATACTTATCACTTTCTCCAGCCTTCGAGGTTTGCAGCGCTGCTGTTTCCTGTGCTGTACAGCTCTGCTCCTGAAGAAAAAACCCCTCCCTCCACTACCAAGTCCTCAAAGCAACACTTTCTCCTCGCCCCATCCCTTCCCTCCCCCGCTGCCTCAATCCGGCCTGCAGTTGTGAGACACACATGAAGCAGTTGATTCAAAGAGGGGAGTTAAAAAAAAAGAGTGATGGAAACTCACAGCTGGCTGGACTTGGTCTTGTTTTCCTCCCTCTTGCAGCCACAGGCGATGATGGGATAGCACAGTGTGTGAATAAAAGGGTTATTACATATGTATGTGTGAATGTTCATCTGGAGAGCCATGCCTTTTTAGTGTGGATCTATGGTGACTTTCATAACCTTGAACCATTTCACTTTTAAGTAGAATTAAAAAAAATATTCAAGGCAGTTTCAAAGGGATTTGATGCAAAACCAAATCAAATAGCATGAGAGTTAGAGTTAAAATTGCACATTGTTTTAATAAAAAAAAAAATGAAATGGTGATGTACATTTTAATTTATCCTCCTTTAATCAGCTACCCAGAAGTAAAATACAAATCTATTTAGAAGTCACACAGTTTGTAGAGTCTACCTTGGCGTAGCAAAAAACAACACAAAGATCAATTAAGGATTAAGCTGTGGAGAAGTTTATAAAGTAAGGTTTGGTTTTAAATCAAATTCCCTAGCTTTGAAAACCATTGAATCAATCCTCTTGACAATTTTCTAAATATTTGAAAGAAGCCCAGGCTAAATGAGGTAAAAATGTGCTCTATTGGCGAGAATTTCTTTGTCTACAATCACGGTTATTGAGGGGAAGACTGAGGCAAAACTTAAAATACTGAGGAAAAAACAGAATAAGCAAACCAATGCATCTCAGCTTGTCATTGAATGACCTTTATCTCTTTATTAGAAGCCTAAATGTAGAGCTTTTGTAGTGGCACTTCACCATCCCGTACCCTTCAATCAGGAGCCCTCTCCTTTCCTAACTGAGCCATCTGACTGGCTAATTTATTGTGCATATAATAAAGCAGTCCAGGACATTGCTACACATATTATTTATTACTGAAAATTTCAAATCCAAATTAGACTTCATCTGCCACCTTCCTCGGGAACATCAATGCTGTTTCCAATCCATGTTACCAATATCAGTGTCATGCAATTAGCTAAACTTAATATCTGATGAAAGTGTTGCTGCCATCAGAGCACATTTTGTTTTGTTTTTTTAGATTAAAATGCATCTTCAACATGTCAATGCAGTGTAAATGTGGATATGTCTTATATTTACAAATATTATCTGACTTACTTGCAAAAAATAAACAAATAATTTTTCCATCCACTGAAACATCACAAGTAAATAAGTTTTACATTAGATTGCTATATTATATCAGATTAAACTTTATTTTAGTTTCTGCCTGTTTTGGACCTTACAAATTAATTTAACTTAAAGTGTAGACCAGCTTTAAACTGTTTAGCTTCGTCCTAAATAGGTTTAAATCTCAACTATATATAAACCTAGTCTTGACTAATGTCTAAATTAGTTTCATGTTCCCTTTACATTGAAATTAGGTTGATTGCTTAATGAGCAACAATGGAAAGGTTTAAATGAAAGATAACACGTGTGTTAGAATGGTCCAGTTCTGGTTTAATAAGCTGTTCTCAGACACTCCATGTAACCCGAATGAGCTTGAGAGGTTTTCGCAATGAAGACAGAGAAAAAAACAGTAAATGATGCAAAGCTATTAGAGATATTTTCCAGAAAAAGATTGCAGCACTAATTAAGAGGGGTGAAAATGAATACAAAACTTTTCAAATTTTTACAAATGAAAATTTTTTTGTAAAACTTAAAAGTACTCCGCAGACTTTGCGTCGTAAAGAGTTGACGCATATCAGTTATTTTAAATGATTCCTCAGGCCAATATACAGCACTTGACACTATCAGTGCTATAAGTGCTGCTCCTCTCTTGAAATACAGAAAGATGTGGGAGAAGACGCACCATCGTTGCTTGGGCATGTGACCTGGAAGAATGTATCGCTTTACGGCCACAGGCTCTTATATAGTCATGGATCTAAGGCTTTTACTCTATTATTTTTCTGCCTGCTTGACTACTGATCATGGCTGAGGCAAGAAAAAATTTAAAACCTTCTGAGGGGACTAAAGAGAGAAAACATGAAAGGGATCGTGCACTAGGAAAAACAAGAGTTTGTTCATTGGCGAAGGCTGAAAGAAGAAGGCAGATGTAAACCCGATTCTCTTTTCTCAACTTTATTATTAGACTGGTAAGTTAACACCTTGCTCCTAGTATACAGCCATATATCTTAGTTATTATTTTCGATGTTTAGTAGAAGCAATTACAGTTACAGGTCTAGCTCCCCTAGTGGCCAAAAGTTACACTGTGAGCTTTATACACATTAAATCTTAAACAGTCATACCCACATAAAAACGCTATATATTACCCAATGTTAGAGTTGTAGTTGTAACCATGATGAAATGTAAAAACGTTCAGGGGGTTATCAATGGGCTTGCCGACTCAATAAAACAATTTTTTATAGCAGCACAAGGGAAACTAGTGTTTCAGCTCTTCACCCTTTTTGGTTGTAAACAGGCTTATATTAAACCCCAGGAGATAAATATTAATTTGTTATTCTAATAAAAATCTGTTGTCCTTAAATACATAATCAGACAAAAGACTATTTACAGACTGCAGTGTGTGTTTGCTCAGTGTGTGTTTTCATTTCCTGTGGAAAATGAAGGGATCTCTGCTGCTTCCTGAATACTAAGTGACCCTCCTCCTCATCACTCATCACAAAAACACTCACAGAACCCCTAACAGCAACACGTCCCAGAGCAGCTGCTGCGCCGCTGATGGACAGGAGGCTTACTTTTGGCTTGGCCTCCGTCCAGAATATGCACTGCATGCTGGGGGTTTACGGAAACGCTGGAGAGGGGTTTCACCTGAAATCACAAACTGTGAACTGAAAAACAAAGCAAAGCCAGCAGCTGGATGAGGGCGTTTTGTTGTGTCTGCGGTCATTAATCGAGATACGTTCATGTGTTTGTTTTTTTTTACTTCACAGACGTATGTCTTTACTGATGGAGAGGATGAAAGGCTGGAGAAAAAGATGGGTGAGCAGCATGCGTACTCACAAGTTTTACTGACTCTGTCCAAGGTTATCTGCCGCAGGGGAAGGCAGGATCCAACCTGCTGACTGAGCAGTAATGTTTCCTTGAAGTACAGGAAGTCTGTTTAGTTTAATCCACAGGCCCTCCTATTTCCTGCTCATTGAACTGTAACATTCAATAGCTACACATACAAAGCAGAAATTGACACTCTCCTCATTTTTGCTTGTACATTTCCGGGACAATTTAAAATTTTTAACTCATTGGACAATGACAAATCGAGAAAACCAGATATAAAGAATGAAAACGGGAAATTAAGGCATTGCTGTATGCAAACTGAGATTTAAAAAAAACAACAAAACAGGATGATCAAGCTTACATTTTACTCGCCATTATACATTTGAACACTTTAAACTTTCTCTAAATGGTGAAAGAAAAAAAAGAAATAGACTTAGACTTAGACTTCTTTATTTGTCATTTTGTATGCACAGAGTGCATACAGAACGAAATTGCGTTACATACAGGTTATGAACATTGCATTGATATTTCAAATGGCACGAGTTATACAAAAAGTGCAGCAGTGGTCAAAGTGTAAACAGTGCAGAGGATAAAGACAGTGTGCAAATTGCAATGGTTCAGTGCAGATAGGCATTTGTGCAAAAAATGCGTTATTGAGAATAGAAATGAGATGAACTTAAAGTGCTAAAAGTTAAACGTTCAGCAGCTTTGATGCCCGATAATGTGCAAATAGAAAGTCATATTCAATTTGATGTTGTGAAATTTTTAAAGTAAAACACATTTAGGGTGATGTTTTTGGGCTTTTATGTCCATAAAAATATAAAAACACAGGAAAAGTGAGACAGAAAAAAATATAGTTTTCTTAAATGTAAACCTTAAAGGAGCGCTGGTGGCAAATGTTCACAGCTGCACAGCAGAATGATAGGTTTTAGGTTTTCCAACACTAAACTCTTACAACATGGATCATGGAGTTGATTTAAATCAAGAAATTACGTCTGTGTTATAAAAACACCAATTTTCTTACCATGTTTATTGTCTTTGGAAGACTGATGACTGATTTCTGCTTTAAAATGATCCTCAGGAGCTCATCTGATCAACAGCAACTGCTCAGCTGCCCATACTCGTCAGGCCCTCTCCTGTAAAATGGCTCTGGAGTACGACATGTTTCTAAACTCTGGGAAAAAGTGAGTCAGAGATCTAACCTAACAAATCTGCTGCTTATGAATACAGACAAGGCTGCACACTGACTGTGAGCATGTTGTGTTTTAGGTGGTTCTGTCATGTTGATGATGATAACTACCTGAACGTTGGCTCCCTCCTAAAGCTGCTGTCGCAGTACAGCCACACACAGGACGTTTACATCGGTAGGCCCAGCCTGGAAAGGCCAATTGAGGCAACAGAGACTTTAAGCATGACTGAGATGGTAAGAGCTTTTCTCTTGTTTGATAGCAACCTCAAAATCATTCCTGAGACCCAATAATCTTACAGTGGCTCATCAAAATACTTCCAGGGACTTGTTTGTAAGCATTTTACAGGTCCTCTCTCCCACATCCCCCAGCCAGTCTTTGATTCAATAGATAAGATTTAATTACGCTGTTTTCAGTTGTGGAAAGAAAATAATCGACTTGAATGGCTATTGAAAACAAATTTCTGACATTGATAGCTGAAGACAGGGCTGAGAAAATGACCAGTGACTGATATTAGAGGACACTGAGGTCAACTGGCCTTGACTAGTGAAAGCCTAGTCCAAAACCCTAATCTGCATTTAAAAAGCAAAACAAAGAAACATATGTGTTAGGTGTTTAGAATTAAGGGGGAAAAGGGTAAAAAAAAAAAGGAACTTGTTCTCTAAGGCTTGTTGAGACATCTGTACTGTTTATTTTGGGTGCAAGAGAGCAAGACTTAAAGGAGATAACAGGAAGGTTCGACTATAAATTGGACGTTTGGTCTGTAATGGAACATGCTAATCCTGAAAATCTCAAGGTTACAGGAAGTATCCACATGCCTCCAAATATAAACAAAAAAAATCCCAGCCATGAATTTTTAAACCAGTGCTAATGGCATTTGTTGTATGCCAAAGCTACTCAAAGGCCTTCAGCTACCTGACCATTTTATTTTGGTTAATCTATTAGCATAACCAATTTTTTTTCCTGCAAATTTCGCTCCCAGAGATGTGGTCTATGGTCACCACTGTTCGTAATAAAAAAAATTTGCTGACAACTCATAGCTGAATAGAGAGAAAATATATATTTTTTAATAATTGCTATTTAGTGTTGATAATCTGCTTCTTAATGGAAAAATGGAGTGTTTAATATCTTATTTACCAAATGGAAGCTTTATAATGTCCCACAATGGGGAAATTTACCTCTGCATTTAACCCATCCTGGGGAGCAGTGGGCTGCCATTGTGTGGTGCCTGGGGAGCAGTGTGGGGTTAAGGGTTTTACTCATGAACCCAGAGTGGAGGCTGTGGGGATCAAACCGGATACTTGCAACGTTCTCAGAGCACAGGAACACTGCTCCAAACTACTAGGCCAACACTCATCAACATAGAACAGATAATAAGAACAGATGAATGGGATTAAAATGCAAAACTTTAAGCTGTTCTCCAATATGGCTGCCACATGGATAAATAGTGGCAGAAATATTTCACTAAGTCAAGTCAAATGACATAATATGTAATATTAAATATTACTGTTAAATATGAAGTCTCACACATAGTATTGTACAGAACCTTAAGGATTCTAAGGTGTTCAATTGTTTTAATGCATAGAGATTTATTAGTTTAACTCGTTAACAGTATTTTAATGTAAACTGGGTGTGACATCATTCCAAGATCCAAGTCCGAACTTCTGCCGCAAATAAAATGCAGGATTACTTTATGATGTTTCCTAACGTGAATTTTAAAAGCTAAGCTTGTTGTGGGTGAATTACAGTATGCAGATTATATTCATTATGGGATATTTGTCTCACCCTGTTTGTCTCTGTGCGTATGAAGAAACAAGTCCGTTTCTGGTTCGCCACAGGAGGAGCGGGCTTCTGTCTGAGCCATGGGCTTGCTCTAAAGATGAAACCCTGGGCCAGGTAAATCTCCCCCTAAAGAACAGTCTAGAAGAGAGTCTGTTTTAACTACAGCATTATAAACCCCCATCTTTCTGTGCTGTGCATCAGTGGAGGAACGTTCATGGCCACAGCTGACCACATTCGCCTGCCTGATGACTGCACTGTTGGCTACATAGTGGAAGCGTTGTTGGGGGGCTGCCTAACCCGCTCAGCATTGTTTCACTCCCACCTTGAGAACCTGGGAGTGGTTACAGACATACACAACCAGGTACACTCACCACAACCCATGTGATTAGTACTATTGATTAAAAGAGATTTGATCGCACATTTTAATTTTGTTTCTGTTCCTCTAATCAGGTTACTCTGAGCTACGGCACTGTGGAAAACCGCAGGAACACTGTTAATGTGAAAGGACCATTTTCCACTAAGGAGGATCCCACCAGGTGAAAACACTTTCCAATTAGGGAACCACACTCACTTCTTTTCATCTTGTTGAACCTTGTAACAGAGATCTAAGGCTACGTTCACACTGCAGCCTTAAGCGACCCAAATCCGATTTTTTGGCCCCTATGCGACCTGGATCTGATCTTTTCATGGCAGTCTGAACAACACAGATCAGATTTTTTCCAGTGCGACCCAGGCCACTTGGCTATGTGGTCCTGAATCTGATACGAATCTGATGTTTTCAAATGCGACCTGTGTCTGAATGGCCAGGTTGGATTCATCCGACCTAAACGCCAATTATACCCGACAAAGGTCTCTATTCTGGGTCTTGCTATGAAGAAGCGGCAAGAAAAACAACAACAATGGCGGACGATGACGCGGAGAGCAGTATTTATGTTTAACCATCTTGAAAAGATTGTGTTTTTATGGTTGGGAAAGGTTGTTAGATGTGCTCCAGCACTACCATCCATGTTTACTTCTGTAACACAGAGCACGCTGGCCTCTGACGTCATCGCACCTCTACTGTGCATGCGGGACACTTGCTTTGTATGACTAAATTTCACACAGGAGATCACATACCAGTCGCATATATTTGGAAATGTGAACGGCAACGCAAAAAAATTTCACAAAAATCGGAATTGAGCATCAAGGCCTGCAGTGTGAACGTAGCCTAACAGGTAGATCATCTAAACTGAAAAGACAATTGGATAAAATCAAGATCTCAGTCATTTTTGATTGACTTTGTTGTTATAATCTTTTGTTGTTAAAGCAGTTTTACTTTTACTTACACTGATGGTGAATAAAATTAGCCTGCTGCCATGCATCCATAAAAAGCTACCGGTATTAGATTTTCTATGTCATGTAGATACATAAACCTTATTTTATTCTAATCCCCCTAAATAATTTTCCTAATGCCGTCCAAAGTCGCATAATTACTAAAATCAGCATGTGTGTAATGTTAGCTTCACAATATATACTCTGCAGGCTTCAGAATGTTGTTTAAGAACATTAGTGAGCAAAAGGCTTTGAGCAACCAATGGGAGCACAGAAGCTTTAAACCCCCCCCATACAGTAGGTTAGGTGGAAGTGTATATCGTGACTCAAGCTGGGGATATAAAAACACATGGAAGGAAGGCCTTTAAGCCAACTATTTTAGCGTATATAAAAGACTTTAATACCCCTTTCTCACTGGCCAAAAAACCTGTTTAAACCCGGGAACAATTGGCTTTTAGTGGCAGTGGGAACAGTCAAAAGACTCAACAAGCGACCCGGGTTAAAACGCCTCGGCTCTGATCAGCATGCTGTGGGAGCATCAGACCTGGGTTGATGTACATGATACCACTGAGCGCAACGTACGGACGTCAACATACTGATCTAACAAGCTAAAACGGCTCTGTTTACATTCGATAAACACAGAGCAGCATTGGTGAGAGGGATTCGGACAGACAAAAGAGTGAAATACTAAGGCACACTTACTACGTCCTCGCTCCATTCGCACTGGTGACATCAACAACGCTTACATAGGGGGGACAGAGGCCATGCAGCTTGTCTGCGGGGGGGGGCGTCAGACCCAGCTTTTTTCCAATGCCGATTGTTAGAGAGTTGACCCATGTTTGAAAAACCGGGGTTAACGCGCTATTTTCATTGGAAAAGAGGCTTCATTGTAACGGAGAACCAATCCTACACCCACATCACCCACCATGTGAAACATGACGATGGCAGAATCATACTGTGGGGATATAGTACAGGAGACACAAAGATAGATGGAGATAAATAACTGTCAGTGTTTAAAGGCTTTCAAATGGCTTAAAAGTTGATCTTAGGAGCAGAAATGGGGAAACAAATTCCACTGAAGTTCATTTTGTTGTATTAGTTAGCCACATCCAAAGAGAACAGCGTTGCAAGTGTGCTGTAAGAAAAGCTTTTGTTTTTAAAAATATACTAAAGTTACTCTTATTGTAGGAGTTCTAATACTATGAGCTTCCTGGCTTTGTTCATTATGTGTCTGAAGCTGATTGTTTTCATGGCTTTATTTTAAAAACAGCAGTTGGGGGTTTCCAGGCATTGTGACTCATGTTTCCCTCTTTCTCTCAGATTCAGATCTGTCCATTGTCTGTTGTACCCAGACACTTCTTGGTGCCCCAGCCTCTTGTGACTATAACCTCCATCTAAAGACAAAGGAGAAAGCGACGAACCAATGGAACTGGAGCAGATTGGTGCTAACCTGCACTGACAGGCAGAAACAGGAAATGTTTTCCTTACATTTTGCAACGACCCTTTTTATCAAGAGCCTGCATTCGTTCTAACCCTGCATGCATATCACTCTTTGGGTCAAAGGGCCAGAAATCAAGCCAATAATCACAAATCCCTTGTTCCTGAGTGAAGTAACAGAGAAAAGTCCTTTACTCTTATGCTAGAACAGAAATGAGGTTGTTTGGCCACAGGGTTTCAGTGCTGTTAAGCTGGGAATAAACAGCCAGAAATAGTATCTATTTAGTTTTTATTAGCCAAACCAGTATGTGACTTTATAAATGGATTTCATAACTTTAAATTTGAATGAACCCAAATTGAAATGCATTTTATGCTGAGGATCCATGCCTTCATCTGTTTTTGATGTACAGCTAAGGCCAAAATGTATTTATATGTTCAGCAGATTAAGGTTGAATGACTGATTTTTTTTTTTTTAACAAACATGTTTTTTTGGAGTATGGAATATGTTTTAGAGTGACCTGGAACCTATGAAGGAAGCCATAGATTAGGGTGATGGCAATGATGCCTTCCAACCTCAGACTGTAATGCTGCGTTCACACCGGGCGCAGCTGGCGCGACAGAAGCAGCGAGTTTACATGCAAAGTCAATGGTTGACGCGCGTCAAGGCGCAGCAAAATGTCCCGCGGCGCGTTTTGAGCATCAGGCGCAGCGCGTCTGAGCAGCTGAAGCAGCGCGTCGGGCGCGTTTAAGCATCTGACGCGCGTGACGCGCCGCAAACGCGTTGCTGCTCGAGATGGAAAAATTGAATTTTTGCTGCTCGACGCACCGCGTCAACCAATCAGAGAAGCTGATCTGGGAGCTGGCTGGGAGAGAGACACAGCGCTGATGACACAGACCGCTCTGATTATTCCTCTTAAACAGTTTATTAACGCATAATTAACTTAAAATATATACATCTGCCGGCAGAATATGTTCGCTTTTATTATTCTGGTGCCTGCAGATCGGATTATTTAGATGAAAAACACCTACCAGCCGCCGCGGTAAACCGCGAGGAGGCGACCCGCCAGAGGCTGCTGTTGAAGGGATTCCTTCTGTCGGCGCACCGCCGGTATGTGGGGGTCTGAGCGGCTCCGACAGAAATAATATTGGGAGGCAGGATTATAATCTGGATGAACTGACTGCACTGATGAAGTTTTCAGGTGTATTTTCTCACTTAAAAACATATTAAAACTAATTTATTCCCACTGATCACAGCAAATATAGCTGCAAGGCAGAGAAAGGATAGTGAAGCTCCGCCCAACGCACGTCAGAGCCACTTTTGCACCCCGCAGCCAGAGTAGCAAAGCTGCTTCAGCCGCGCGTCAGAACTAACTGGTACAAGCAGCAAAAATGAAGGAGCAGACGCGATTTTGCTGCTTTTGCAGCGTCCGGTCTGAACGTAGCATAAAGGCATAATTTAGATCAGGGGTCACCAATGTAGTGCCTTCTGAAAACAGAATAACTAAGTTTGAGATTTCATTGTATTCTGATGCACTTCTTTTTTAATAATTTAATCATATAGAGAATTTAGACATTTATAGAGATTTCAAAATGACATCTAAATTAATAAAAAATTGAAAATTAAAGGAAAAAATATAAATATGTTTATTATGTGTAAGGTTTAGGTGAACACTGACCCCTCCAGTTCATAGGTCAGTATTGGTAGCCCTTCCTATGGCTCTGTACCCATGCAGTAGATCTCAGCCTTAATAAAGTTGCTGACCTCTTGTTTAAATGCCAGTGGAAACAATTACAGAAGGAATCAAAAATTCAACAGAATTTAAAATCTTCCAGGGGAGTGAATAGTTACCAGTCTTTGGCGGTGTAACAGCACCACATTCAGGCCCAAGTGAGGCCATAGATACTTCAGCACTTTGGAGGATTTCTGCGTTCTTGTGTGATTGAGTGTAAAAGATGTAGGAAAACTATAAATAGAAAGATTATCTCAGCCTTCTTGCTGACAAGGATTTATCATGTTTTTGGGAGCAACGTTATATCATTTCTTTGGCAAACTGCTTGGCTTTTAAACTCTTTAATTACGACAACATATCAAGTCTTAACTTGTGCCTGTCTTTCTTATCCAAATGAATTACTTCATATTTTTTTAGTATGCTCTAATCATTGTACAAACTGAACCTTTTAAGGATGACATAAATGAGCTTTCTCTGCCTCCTCTCTATCAGATTGCTCTGTGAAGGACTGTGGATAAAATGAAGTAATCTAGGAAGAAAGACTGCCATTTTAACTCCATGTTGAAAAGTATTAACCTGTATTTGATGTATATATGTGAGAACTTTCTTGTTTTCTCTTTTTACACTGGCTCTTTGTTAATAGAAGCACCTGGATACCATAGGGGAACATTTTGGCAGATAAATTTGTGAGACATTTCAAAACGAATACTTTCAAAGTTTCTCTGCTGCGTTATCCTTGAAGGTCATAGCTTGCAACATTTTCCCTTTAGCTAAATTTCTATTTTGAACAATTCATGAAGTCTAAGTGGACTTTTCTTGCTCTATTCAAGAGAAATGGATGAACTGTGATTAGCATGAAGTTCAGACTGCTCTTACAATGTTGCAGCAGTCCAGCTCTAAGGTAACTCACGTTGAGTTGTATCTCATCTTTCTGTGCATTTATATGCAGCTTTTGTCCCTGTGCTCCATGTTCTATCCAGTATCTGGATTGTATGTAGACGTTACGGTAAATAAAACTGTAATGAGTCAACTTCCTTGTTGTTTTGCGTTTCTGTTAAACCCCTAACCTTGTGTACTTCTTGATGTTACACCAGCAGGAGTATTCCTGGAAATATCTCTGAGCCGGTTACAGTTTGTTCCACTGGTTCTGATCTGGGTGGGTCACCTGTGTGACCTCTATAAGATCCCAGGCAAAATTAGCATAGCCACACCAACGCTGACACTGTTATGGCTCACTCAGAAAATACTTCTCATAGATACATCTGTCAACATTGACACCTAGTGGCAACTGAGGGTTTATAGAGAAACTGGTAGTAGAACTCACAAAAAAATGAAGCGTTAATGGTGATAATCCAGCAAATGTTAAGAGCCTGATTGCAATGAGATAACATTAAATATTGAAATGACCAGAGCCTCGAATCGTATGTTAAAAGTGTTTAATTTCATGTTTTGAACATTTATTCCAGGCTGAAATATCATTACCACAGTTCTGACATGTATATCGTTAATATCAGTTAAAACCATCGGAAAAATAAAAACATCGATAGAAAACATTGTCCGTCTGTCACATCTGTACACATGTTGTATATGAAGTTCTGTAGGCATCACACACACACACACACACTCACACACCAATCACTGTTTTTTAATCACAGGCGTGGCTCCAGATCCTCCCCTAAACCAAGCACTGAGCGCTGCACAGAACTTCAGATACAGCTCATGATTCAGGTGAGCAGAAAACACTGGAATAATTAAAACGTTGCAATACAGAGAATCATTCACAATTAATGCGAAAGGAAAAGCAATGTTCGTTATCCCCCTAAAAAAAAACAGCTAGTGATTATTCCATCTCTAAAGTCTTCTTTTTACAAGACAGAAGAAATAATAAAAATAAAAAAAACATATTAAGTGTTTAAAGAGCATTTAAACATGAGAGGCCACTCATCAGTGACCCAAAGATCATAACATCGTTTCCATTACTGGTGCAAGAAAACACAGTAAAGTCTTAGACCATAGGTAGCATTATCTCGACATGGATATTTCCTTCTAGTAGAACCACAAATGTTAGATTGTCTCGCTGATCCGAGAATTTGTCATTGATTAATTCAAGCAGACAAGATTAGAATCCTTTATAAGAACGGTGGGGGTGAAAACACCTACGAATGTCAGGCTGCTCATCGTGAAACTCCATCTATACCTAATATGCCACCTATGATGCAAATCAGTGCGATGAGATCGTGCAGTTACCACAGCTCCTGATGGAAACAGGAAAAAATTATGGAAAGAGAGATTTTAATGTAAGTGTACCTATGAAGCATGTATGAGAACATCTACGGCAATGTGTGTGGGCTGCTGTGATGTAGACGTGACTCAGGCTATTTAGGCTGGCTAAAACACTGATGGACTGTACTCGCACAGAGTAACACTGAGATAAGAGCGTTAGCCAATCACGCTGCAGAGATGTAAAACACACAGATTCACAACTACAGCTTTTTTCTTTTTGTTGTTTTTTTTTCTGTTTCTGTCTTTACACTGTACAGTTTTAGAGCAGGAGGAAAAGCCACATGGCAGTGTCCCAGGCAGTGAGTTTTAAATTCTCCATCTTGTAAAGTCGACTCCCGGAGAATTTGTGCTTGACTGATAAAGAAAAAAAAAAATTCACTGTGGTGCAAGGCAAAAAAAAAAAATGTATATACTGTATCAAACTGAAAAAGGAAGGATACAAGAACATAAAGAAAATATTAACTACAGCTGGTCACAGTATTTTGCATAAAAAAAACAAATCCTCCTGATTTACTTTAGATCTTCATGTTATAGCAGATATAAAGGAAAAGTGTTTGATCCAGTCAAACATGCTTGCTGAAGTGCCTCATATTGCAGACCCCTTGGATTTTTTTTCCACATTTGATCAATTTGCCACAAACTTCAATGTATTTCACTGGAAATTCATGACAAACCAAAACAAAGTAAGACGTGATTGTGAATTAATATAAAAGTAATACTGGATTTTATATTTTCTGGTCATATAATCTCATAAATAATGATTTCCTGGGAAGTCCACTGAAGTTTATTAGAGAAAATTAGTGAACCAACAGCTTTAGGAAGATAAATTGTGTAGGGATCAATGCCAAATTATGGTAGAAGGTGCCTCTTGTTAGATAAGACTTAAATTTAACATCGGGACAGAACAGGTACATGTCACCTGGAATGTTCCCATTGGTTAAATGTAAGGCAGAGGCAGCTGCTTAACCCCGGAAAATCCAGCAGGTGCTGTTTAGTTGCTGTGAAACTTAAAAATGTCTGTTCACTATTCATTCTGATTGAGCTTGGGATATTTTGCATTTGCAAAAAGACACAGTTTGATGTTTAATTTCCTGTTGGTCTGTCGAATAAAATCCATTCAAATACACTGACGTCTGTGGTTATAAAGGGGAAAAGCTTGAAGAGCTAGGAACACCTTTACGAGGCACTATATGTCCCATCATTACAACCCAAAATGAAAATATAAATTTTGTCCTTCTCTACTTGACCTTTTGAGACTTTGACAGCTTTAAATAGCACCTTACAAGTTTTAAAATCGCCAACATGTCTGTCCATTCACCTTCCAAGTATCCGCTCCCACATCACTGACAGCTGCACGACTCACGCCCCTTCCATGTTTTCCCTTTATGCGTCATCCGAAGGCAGTGGGACGAGAACAGAATCAGGCATCTTCTATTTTTATTTGTCAGTTTATTTGGCACTAGTTGAGCCTATCTGCATCCGTGCTCTTCAGCGTCCGCTTCCGAGATGATTTGTTTTGCACAACGGCTCCAGGTTCAATGACTTCAAAATGCATTAATCAATGCG